TGCGTGTTGTCTGGCATTCGAACCTGATTCCCGCATTTGCATACACCGAGTGCCAGACTACGAGGCTTTCCACGATGATTTGCGGACCTTGGATGCTCAGAAGCAGAATTTTCCTTGGAGTGCATCTGTGCATCCGGACCTAAATCATTTTGGCTCAAGCTTTGAAGGCTCCAGCGTTCATCAGACTGATCAGGATTCATAGAGCGAGGCCGCCGAAGCCATGTCCACGGTTTTCGAAGTCCCCGCAATGGCAATAATAAAGGAGTTGGTGCAAACCGCCTCGGAAGCGTGCGTCTTCGTTTTCAGCGGTGAGGGCGCCCATGGTACAGACACGGACATCTCCGTCCTGAAGCTCAGCCCATCGTGGCCTGCTGTGCAGCAAGCTCTGCGTGAGGTCGGGCAGGTGGATCCCGAGGCATTCTTGCAAGAGAACCTCGGAGAACACACTGCTCCGAACTCGCCCCTGGTCACGGTGTCGCTGAATATTCTGCATGCGGACCTCTGGCAGCACTGGGGCCTGCAGCCTTCAGTGGTCCTTGGCCACTCCGTGGGCGAAATTGCTGCAGCCTGTACCGCCGGCATCCTGAGCATCAGCCAGGCCATCAGCATCGCGCACAGCCTTGGCACTGCTATGGAAAGCTTCCCTGGCGAGATGGTCCACACCGAGCTCCGCCGAGCAACCCTGAAGGAGTTTCCAAAGTCTGGTCTCCACCTGGCTGCCATCAACTATGTCATCGCAAAGGGCGACAGCGAGGAAGGGGACCTTCTCAGCGTGACCTTGTGCGGCACCGGCTCCGAGGAGTACTTGGCATTCGATCCAGCTGCCATGAAGCTGCGGCCTTGCCATCCTTGGCATCATCCGGAGGCTCCAGTGCCCTCTGAACTTCCAAGCGGCAGCGCCGGCCGAATCCCTTTCATTTCGGCAGTTTCTGGTGTGCAGCTGGCGGAGCTCCCGAAGGACCACTGGCAGCAGTGGCAACGGAGCCCCGTGAAGTTTGCAGAGGCTTTGAGCCTTGCGCGCAACCTCTCAGAATCCAAAGGGGTGCGAGCCACCGTGCTGGAGATGGGTGCCCATCCCGTTATGGCCGCTGCCATCAAGGCCACGTTCTCAGACGGGCTCAGCTATGCCTGCTCCATGCGTCGCGGAGAGCGGGCAGCTCCGTTCTTGCGGCAGCAGCGCGCCGGCTTGGCCAACTTCCGCAGGCAGCTGTCGCAAGCGCTGGAAGGCTTCAGCTTTGCTGGCCGGGAGCTGTGCCACAGCACAAGTTTTGCAGCCCAGGGCATTGCATCGCAGCAACTGGTGATGCTGGCGGAGGCCTTGAGGCCCTTCTTCCCGGGCCTTGCGCCGCACGACCTCTACCGCTTCAGCAGCATCGAGGATCTCTTGGACTGGGGCGCGGATGAGATGTCGGAGACCTTTACCCCACCGAAGACGGCGAAAGCGCAGGAGCTTCACTTCGAGATCCTGGGATGCGCCCTCCGCTTCCCGGGCGGTGTGGAGACGCCGGGCGCTTTCTGGAGCATGCTGCTTCAAGACGACCAGGATGCCGCTTTTGCCACCGCCTCGAAGGAGGGTCCTCAAGCTGCCTTCCTTCAGCCCAAGTTCGATTCTCGCACTGCGCTGATGGCCGAGGGCCTGAAGGGCCTGGGAGTCGAAGGCGCGGAAGCCGCTGCCATGGATCCGCAACACGGCTTCGCGTTGCAGCTGGCAGCGGAGATGTGGCACGATGCTGGCGGTGCCAAGGAGGAAGCCTTGGCCCAGCCGGAGCGCGTGGGCGTCTATGTTGGAGCCTGGCAGCCCGCTATCTCGGACCCCCGAGCCTCGGCCTATGCGGTGATCGGCTCCTCGCTCAGCGCCCTGGCTGCCCGCGTGGCCAACGCTTACAACTTGCAGGGCCCTGCGGTGACCGTGAACACGGCTTGTTCCTCGGCTCTTGTGGCAGTCCACCAGGCCATGCAGGAAGCTCGCGCAGGACAGCTGGCCTATGCTGTGGCTGGTGGAGTGAACTTGTTCGGGGAGGACACGCAGCTCTTCAAGAACCTCCGCCGAGCCGGGATGCTGAGCCCGACTGCCCGGTGCCACACCTTCTCCGCAAGAGCCGATGGCTACGTGCGCGGGGAGGGCGGCGCCCTCTTCCTGCTGCGCTCAGCCTCAGGCTCAGGTGGCTCAGGGCTGCCCTCGCGTGCGCAGCTCTGGGGCTCGGCGGTGACCCAGAACTCCACACAGAAGCCGCTGTCCTCAGTGGACCCGCTCGCGCAGGAGCGCGTCATCCGAATGGCCTGTGCTAGCGCCTCCGTGACCCCAGCCAGCCTCGCAGCCGTGGAGCTGCATGGTACAGGCACGCCTTTGGGCGATCCTGTGGAGGTTTCAGCCCTAGCTCGGGTGGGCTGCGCCGCCATTATGACGGCCTCCAAGATGCACGTGGGTCATCTGGAGTCGGCAGCCGGTGCAGTTGGTCTTGTGAAGGCCGTGCTCCTCTGCGAGAACTCCCTCGTGCCCTCCTTCAATATCCACGGAGGCCTGAACCCCCAGGTTCTGGCTGCAATGGAAGGCTCCTGCCTCAAAAAGCCAGGAGATGAGGCCGAGCTGCCCGCCGGTGCCTTTGTGGGCGTCTCCAGCTTCGGCTTTGCAGGCAGCAACGCCCACGTGGTGTTGTCCGCAACCCCAAGCGCCAGGGCTTGTCCCAAGTACGAGTCCAAGGGAGCCTGGGAACGACCCATTCCTTCTCGGCAGTATGAGCAGTCGATTGCGGAGACGTTGTCCACCACCTCTCCTCGATCACAGCGGTCGCAGGAGCAAGCCCCGTTCTCGAGTGTCGTTAGCAACGGGAACCGGCTGTTCTCCGTGGCCGAGAATGCGGAGGCAGATGCAGAGGACGCCGAGGACGTGGACGTGAGTTCGCTGAGCTTTGTCGGCAGCGCTGTGCTGTCCATCGTGGGCGGCGATGCAGAGGTGGACGTCGATGCTGATCTGTATGACCTGGGCATCGATTCCTTGGGACTGGCCGAACTTCTGGGCCTGTTGGAGGACCGCTTTGGCCAAGCCTGCATCAGCATTGACAAGATCATAGACGAGCCTACGTGCAGGGCCATCGTCAAGAACTTGGAGGATGGTGGTTTCAAGGCAAAGGTGGAGATCTCGGGAACACCTCTTCTTCCCCGCAAAGTTCAAGCGCCGCCCCGCAACGTGGCCCCTGCGTCTGTTGCAGCTTCCGTCTCTCCTCTCCCGGCCAACGGCTTCGAAGTGTCCGCTGCGATGCAAGAGCCAAAGCAGTCAGTGGCTTCAGAAGATCTCAGCAACTGCTGGATTCGAACTACCCATGTTGGCTCATTGCCTCGGCCGAACGATGCCAACTTGGACGTGGAGGAGGCCATTGCTCAGCAGGAGGCCGTCTCCGTGGACATCATCAACGATGGTGAGTGGGTTCGCGACAACTACATCGCTGACGTCATCGCCCGGATTGAGGGGCTGAATGATGATGGCAAGGGGGCAAAGCATGTGGGGGCCAGCTGCTGCGCCAAGCATGCAATGCCTATTGCCTCAGACATGAAGGACGTGCCCCTCTATGCCCAGCGCTTCACTGGTGGAAACGGCCTCATCACTCTGAATCCCAAGCGAGAGGCAACCAGCGGCCTTGCCTGCGTGGG